TTGATTGAAAAACTCTTTTTGATTTGTGTTGTTTATGTTTGAGTACCAAATGCATGAAGTCAAACTGAAATGGGAAGTTTGATTTCAATAATTTTATGTGGGTAGAATATATATGTTGTTCTTACACAAAAACTTGTTAAAGATATGATTTTGGATATAGAAGTTTAAAATGTGAAAGTCTGACTATTTGGATTTTCGAAAAATTTACCTAAACTTTGGGTTTTCGATTGAAGCTTAAAATCTGGATATTTTGTTTTAGACTTCTTGAGGAGTGTTTGAAATTTTATTTCACTAAAAAATTTTGGGTATTGTATTTTTTATGGATTTTTGAAATATGCTTTGCAAATTTTGGAATTTACATTTTCTGCATAACATGTATTTTTAGGAAATGATTTAGTGCATCCATACTTATACAAATTGAATGATTTTAAATTCAGGTGATTCCATTGGGTGTCTAGTTTGATTCTGAAGGCTTCATGAGGTTTCAATTAAAGGTTAAGTTTATATGAATTTTTCAAGTTAGCAACATCAATCCTAGAAAATGACAATTTTGAAAGAAAATCACATTTTAAATAGTTTTTGACTTTGGAATCGCTTGAAGAATTTACTAGAACAACATATGTATGTCTAGAGTGCCCTATTAAAATTATAGATTGATTTGGTGAGTGGAATTTTTATGAAGAATTTGAGATTGACCAGTGTTCTATTATGAGACAGTTTTGTTAAAATGAAGTTAAGTTAATCATTAGGTGTGTTAGATGTCCAATGAATTTAATATTGATGTGATATCACAAGGAGACCTTTGTATGAAGAGTTTATTGGATTTCTAATAAAGGGAGACAAGCGGTGGCACCGTTAGAGGATTCAGATCCTTATTTGGCCTAAAGTTGGAGCTTCAAGTTATGAGTGAAATATACAGTAGAACCTCTCTATAGTCATAATGTTGGGACCAATTAAATTTATTACTATAAGGAGGTTATAATTTAATAGAGGTGTAGTTACAAGAATTATTGTTTTGATTTCTTATTTTATAATTCATGTTTTAGTAGTATTAGGATTTCAATTCATTGTTTTAGTAGTATTAAGATAGTACGGAAATGGATATCAAAGAGTCATTGTAAAATTGAGTGATCAGATTCGACAACTTCACTACCCTAATCAAATGGGTAGCAATGTCTTCCTTAATCATCCAAATGAGCAACAAGTCGTGTATGTTTTAACTGAAGAAGAAATCATTACTTGAATTAGACAAGAAGAGGAAGAATATAATCTTGAGGATGATAGTATGGAAATACAAAAAATTTCATGCTAAGAAGCTCTGAACATGCTTGAGAGCTAGAATTATTTTGGCTTCAACAAGAAAGTGTCCATGCTGGCGGCTTATTACGTACCCACAAGATAAAAGATATGGTAACAATTTTAAAGCAGAAATCATTGTCCCAAACAACTTTAGATAAATATTTTATTTCATCTTAAACTTTTAATGTAACATATCATATATTTTTTGCAATATACATATAATTATTACTATGTGGATGCAAGTTTTTTAAGATGGGACCTAGAAAAATTATAATTTATTATAATGTGAAATTTATTCTTATTTATAACTGGCTCAAGTTGAGACCATAATTTTTTATGATTACATAGAGGTTATTCCTATATAGAGTATCACTATAAAGAGGTTTTATTGTATATATAAAACACATCATTTAGCATTAGGAAGCTAGGAATGACTATTGAGCATTTTCTAAAAATCTTACCTCTTTTGCCATCACCATAGGTAGCATGGCCGACTTCCACAAGTTCAAGATTAGTTAATAATGCTTTGTTACCTATCATGTGTCTCGAACAACCATTGTCAAAGTACCATTGGTCGTCCCAAAATGCAAGCATTCATCTATGAGTAACAAGGCAATTAGCACTTAACTTGGGTCTCCGCACTTTTCTGATTTAAAAACATCCTTTTGGTGTGGTGACATGAAAGATCGATGTGGTGACTATTGAGAAAGAAAATCATAATTTCCAAGACATTTTTTTTTAAGTAGGAAATGAGTTTAAAGCATTTAGGTCTGATGTGACATTTCTTTTGACAAAAATGACAGAATGGAGTGAACTATTTTACCTTCAAGGATGGATCACAAGGGGTAGCAACAAATTTTGGAAATGATTTAAAAGCTTTGACGAATGTGGTCACACCAGGCTTGGATGTGCTTGCACCAGGAGAAAAACTCAAACTCAATTTATCACCAAAAATTTTCCCTTGGCCAAGAACTTCATCAAGCTTGTATGAACCTGCATTTAACCTTTCAAAAATGGCATTGGCCTTAATTAGTTCATTTAAAGCTTGACTTAGCAAAAGCTCATTGTTGAACAAATCATAAAATAAGACTTTCATTTTATCATTAAAAAATATCTTATCTTCTATCAAAGAGGATTTTTCGGATTCAAGAGATTTAATTTTCTTGATAGCTTTAAACCATGACTCATACATCTTGTCATAAGCCTTCTGTTGCCATTTGTAGACATCACATGAATTGTTTGAGGACACACTATCACTGTCCTCTTATTTAACCGTAAAGGCTAAAAAAAATTCAACCTCATTGGTGTCATCACCCCTAAGGCTGTGTTTTGTGAGGGTTGTGGGCATATAACTCCTATTATCTATTTTTGATTCCAGACATTCCTTTGTTTGGTTTGACAGTAATATAAAATTACGGGAATGTTTCATTCCCAATAGTGAATACTATTGGTCATTTTGGGGGTTATCAGATTACCTAGTCCAGGGGTGTTAATCATTTTTTACCGGGCTTATTATTATTTTTTTTACCAAATTTTCCCTTAAATAAAAGCCATTTTGGACTAAATTGCCCTTAAATGTCTACCAAATAACAATTACCTAGACCCCCAACATTTGAGAATTTAGCTAAAACACCCTAGCCACAAAAAGTATAAAAGTTAACAAAATATCTCCAGCCACCAAAGATCACCACCAGACGTTAGCTACCACTGTCGGCCACCGGCAATAGTAGTCAGATCGATGCACAATCAGCGGGATGTGGCCAACTGTGCGCCAATTTGGCTATTTTTGGCCATATCGAAGGCCAAAAACGACTAGATCACCATGGATCTGGCAAAAAACGACTAGAACAATTTGGTTGGAAACAATTAGATTGGTGTGGATTTCGGCCTTTGATCTGGCTAGAAACAGCCAAAACGGCGCATGATTGGCCAAATCTCACTGGTTGTGCGCCGTTTCGGTGACTGCCTCCAGCAATCGGTAGTGGTGGCCGGCGGCCGGTTATGGTCTTGGGTGGTTTGGGATATTTTGTTAAAATTTATACTTTGTTGTTGGGTGTTTTAGTTAATTCTCAAATATAAGGGGTTAAAAGTAATTTATTTATACAATAATAATATTATAATGATATTAAAAAGAAAGGGCAATTTAGTAAAAGCTTCTGTCGATAATATTTTATTCTTCCTAACCAAACATCTTAATTATTTATACCCATTAATCTAACCAAATATATTGATATAACATTCTCCCATAATCTTCAAGGTAATTTATCTTATTGGTAATCCTACATTTTCAGCAATAAAACATTCCCTAAACCAAACGCACCTTGAAAGTTTTAAAATATTACCAAGTTGTTAAAACTTAAGCGGAATGGGTTTACTTGTTCACTTTGTGCTTACTAAGTTGTTTAAAAGATAATCAATATAAGTAAGTCATCCCTGACATAAAATAAAGAACACAACTCATTTTTACATGGTTTCACAACTTGCTTACATCCATAGGACCAAGTCCAGAAGAAGCAAATCCACTATGAGATACTTATGTGTTCAAATACGAAGCTAAAGACAAGTATCAATTGCAAAACATCCCCTGTTTAGGCAACACTTCAATCTTCACTCTTAGGGTTGGACATTAAGCCACCATAGCTAGCTTCACTCCACAAGATCACCTGGTCACCCTTGAGCTCCTCTCAATGTTCAACACCGAAAGAACACTTTAGCTTCAGCAGCTTGAACACGTCTAAGCAGCAATCATGGAACCATGTTCCAGAAAACAACTCAAACAAAAGAGAGTTAAGAAGGTAATTTAAGCCTACCAAAGCATAGAGAAACTTAGTTCAAAACAAAAAAAACCCCATCATATATTCAGAGATGATACAAAGGTATATTCAAGCCTCTCTAATTAAAGCGCATTGACATAGAGAATAAGGGGTGTTTGGTTCCTGGGTACCCAGAGCCGAAACCGGTTCCGGGTACCCTATAAAATTACTTTTACCCCCCAAAAGTTTATAAAATGACAAAAAACCTTAAAAACCTACAAATACCCCCCCACCTGACACTTGTTAACAAAAAATAAAATAACAAATACATTATAAAGCCTTAAGCCTTCCACCTCCAATTCAACTATACGGAAACTAAGGATTTCACATTACAAATTACAATAATCCGTTAGAAAAATCAGAAATTACAAATTACAAACTCCGAAATTAAAATGATGAAATTACATAACATATAAAATAAGTAACATAACAATTAACAAAATCCAAATATGAAAAATTGAAAACATCTCATTCTCCATGCTCCAAATTGCTTGCATCATGAGCATTAATTTCTACAAAATAAATACAAGAAAGTCAATTAGTAAGTTCAAAATATTGAATACAATTATTTGGGAATAAATTAACTAAATATTAATATAAAAGATTGATATTATATTGTTACCTAAGTCGTAACTTTCTGCATTTATCAAGTAATCCTCAAAAGTAGCTGGGGTATATGCATATCTCAACCAATCTTGTGTACAAACTAATGCTTCCACAACAGGTGTACTTAAAGAACTCCGAAATTGATCAAGTACACGACCTGATGTACTGAAAGCTGACTCAGAAGCAACTGTAGATACTGGAATGGCAAACGCATCTCTTGCCATATGTGAGAGAACCTTATACGTTACAGCATTTACTTTCCACCAATCTAGTATGTTCAAGTTAGACTTCCTGGGAAGACATTTCTAACTCTGATTTAGTCATATCATGAACCTCTACCTTCATCTCCTCCTCATACTCATCTAAGGAGGGGTCGTAGTCACTATTATCACAACTCACACCAGTAACTGAAGATTGACCAATTTCGGTAGGTTGGGAAGAAGCGGAAACTTGGCTTTCTTGGAAACTTGATACAACCTCCACATAAAAAACATACAACCGTTGTAACAAATCTCTCAACTTTCCATACATCAACCCAACCTTTTGAAAATCATTGCCATAAATCTTTTTGTACCCCCACTCCACATATTTTATTTTAAACCGAGGATCTAAAACTGCTGCAATCAATACCATCATGTTGGATCTATCAACACTTCCATAATACTTATCAAAATTCTCTTTCATTTTCATTGACATGTTGTTAAGTACTGGATTTATGTCTTTCTCCCATTCATTCAAACAAAGTACAAGAAAGTAAGAGTTAGAAGTCACATAGTTCGACCCCGACATTTTAGTTGTAGCTTTATAAAATTTTCTGAGGAATTTAGCAAATACATTTGCTTTTTCCCAATCCTCATCAGAAGGTGTATCATGTGACAAATCTATAACATAATTTGGATCATCATCTTCCAACCTCTAAAAAGCTTTCCTGAATTTTAGTGCAACATCTAACATCAAATAGGTGGAGTTCCATCTAGTAGCAACATCAAGACACACACCACCTTTATAAGCAATCCTTTCTTCTTTCACACATCTTTGAAATGTTTCGGCTCTAGTAGGGGAACTCCTCACATACTTAATCGAATTACGAATTCGGCTAATACAATCCTTTGTCTCACTAAAACCATCATTTACAATCAAATTCATAATATGAGCAGTACATCTTATATGGAAGAACTCGCCATCCAGAAGTAGCGCTAATTTGCCCCTTAAGTAAGCGATTGCCACGTCATTAGCGATAGCATTATCAACTGTTATAGTGGACACTTTATCTTCAATACCCCAATTGAAAATGCACTTCTCAACCACTTTCCCTATCTCCCTTCCCTTGTGACTACTAATGGGCACAAAATTGAGAATTCTTTTATGTATAACCCAATTATCATCAATGTAGTGACCAGTGAGACATAAGTAGCTAATATTCTGAATTGAAGTCCATATATCAATAGTCAAAGCAATCCTAGACTTTAGAGAGTGCAACTTACTTTTCAGTAAAACCTTCTCAGAATCAAAACGCTTCACAACATCCCTAGCCAATGTGTTGCGAGAAATATCAGACCACAAAGGTTGCAATGAACTTAGAAATCTCCTAAATGGTGGCTGCTCCACCATTCGAAAATGTTCTTCCATAATAATAATCATTTCAGCAAGCAACTGCCTAGACACTTCTTGATTGAATCTCCAAGTGCTAATCGTACTACTTTCTGCTCTTTCTTTGTTTGTAGTCTTGAAAGTTGAGATAAGTGTTTGGCTTTTATCTACATTGCTTAGGCGTTTCTCACAACTGGATAAATGCTTATGCATAGAAGAAGTTCCATTCATCACATTAAACACCAACATCTTTGCACAATACAAACACTTTGTTCGGTCTACTATGCCGGTTGTCTCATTGACAATTTTCTCAAAGTGTTGCCACACATTGGATTGCTTGGGCTGCGCACACACATTTGAGATATTCTCTTCAATGTCAATATTCTTTGATGACATTGTTCCTACAAAGAATTAAGCAATCAGCATATAAGTAATATAATAATCATGATATAAATTATAAAGGCTAAATTTATTATAAAGATCTTATTTTAAAAAAGAAAGCGACATTCACAACATAGAAATGTCTAAAACTAACAACAGTATATTATAAATAACAACAAATGAATTAACTCACTATGTCTAATTCCAAATGGTTAATTTAGTGTACATCAAAGGATGAACTTTCCCAACATAGCCGTACATAGTAAGGCACCAAAAATTAACTTTATTTTAAGACATTATTGTACATTCCAAATTCTTTACTATTAAATCACATATTCAATTCATATTAAACAATTAACATCTGAATGCACAATGTAAGATGGTTTCTTTTCTTTGATTTGCAATACAATAAATGAATAAAACCTTGAAATAAAGCTTCAACATCTATGGAACTGTGATGACATTTGAAAGAAAAATTGAACTGAAGGACTAGAGATAAAATGATAAATGCAAGAAGTAAAATATGATATTGAAAGAAATGAAATAATTATAAAGTATCCAAAGGAGATAACAAAATCGGAATTACATGTATAAATAGGACAAATTTGTCTTTAAATTAACAAGTGGACAAGGACCACCAAAAAAATTTAACTAAACCATTCTCTTTCTATTGTCTTGATATGTGTAGACATACACATAGCTGCCAAGTGGTGCATCTTTTAAAAAGAAAGCTTACTTGTTACCACATGTTAAAGGCCAAGGCAAGGCCAAGCAAAATCATTATTGTATTTGTCACTGTTGAAAGCCTAAAACAATCACTGAAGCAAGTGGGCATGTGTCCATAAGTCCATTATATATGTACCAGATTCAGCATCACACCAACCTAATTTCATTAATTATACTTTTCCATTTGCCACCACTACATTTGCTTTTTGACCTTTTTACTGTGTAAATATTTTCTACTTTTTAAACCATTACCATCAGATACAATCTATCCAACAATGAACATTATCAATGACATAAAACTTGGTGCACTGCAAACTATCTGTGCTATCTTTTTTAATTATAAGTGGTGGACCATTGGGGCCCTAATGTAGTAATGCCTTAACTTTGTGGCTTTGTGCCCCAAGCTCTCAACAGGCCAACACAGCCAAGAATCTGTCAACTATTTTTGTCTCCTACGCAACCACCAAGTCAAATTTGGCTGCAAGTCTCATTTTGTAGGTCCAATTGTGTTATTCTCTTCTCTATTATTCTCTTCTCTATTTATTTTGTTTTTCGAATTTAATTTAATAATACAGATTCGTCAACACTTAACACTTAACAGGATGGGGAAGTAAGTCAACATACTGGGAAGCAGTGAGCACATGGGTCTTGCATTTCACAACTTTTAAACACAAGAATGATGCCTATTGGATTGCCTATAAAGTGTTTGTGAAAAAACTTACTTCACATCGTCAAGCGTCAACACAACAAAGTCTTAGAAGAAGAGAGTTCAAGTGGGTCTTAGAAAGAGAAACGAAAACAAGATACCTAGTGCTGGAGCTGAAGGAATTCCACTTGAGCTGAGGGAGAAGTAACAATCCTTAACCAATTAGCTGAGGGAGAAGTAACAATCCTTAACCAATTAGGGCTCTGTTGTTGTTGTGATGAAAAACCAAAGAAAAGTGTGAATGATTTTTTTTTTCAATTTGGTGTTTAGGGTTAAAGAGTCGAATTGGGAATTTTAGTCTGCCCTAATTTAAATTTTCAGTGTAAAATATCACATAAATCCCTAGATTTATATATAATTTCATTTTAGTCTCGGTTCCTAGGTACCTGTCGGTTCCTACCCAGTGGAACCAGAACCGGAACCACACAGTGTCGGTTCCAGTTTTTTGGAACCAGAACCTACCCTGTCACTATCGGTTCTGAGTAGGAACCGAAACCGGAATCAGATCCCGGGTACCCGTCAGTTCCAGTTCCAGGTGTTTCTTTTGTACACCCCTAGAGAATATATAGAAAATAGGCATATAAAGCTGGGGGACAAAGCAGCCAACAAGTTGCTTTTTGGTTTTGCCTGTTTAGGAAAGTTCCCACAAACTTTGTTGGGGACCATGGTCAAGGCAAACATAATATTTCAGTACACCTAATGAATAAATGACAAGTGTACATGGACCACAAACACATATCTTAGTAAAGAATAAAATCACATCAATGAAAAAAGATCGCAATAAATGTTGTGAAAATATCTAGCAGATGAGTGTCATCACACAGACTCTGATGTGCCCACACAACATGAATGAAAACATAAATAACTGAGCGTGGTCACATCAACAGAGAATCATGACACTGGAGATGAAACTGAAAATGATTATGCATGAAACAAAATGAAGTCCCCACACTAATACTAGTGTTGACAAAATACTTAAAATCTCCCACTTTATCAAACTTATGAACAAAGCACAATATTTTCACCAACATACCTGTCTCAACAAAACTTCAATCAAATAACAGGAGACAAGAAATTAAAAATCCAACGAGAATCAAATCTCATAAGAATCAAAATCATGACTGCAAAACTCCTTCTCAATATATGAACTGCCCCTAAACAAATGCACTAAATCACATACAAGAGATAAACAATTAGGAGTAAATGGGTTAGTTCAATTCACAAAATTAGAGCCAAACAAGATTCAAATATGCATGAAAAAATTAAAAAAATAAAAAAAATCAATTAATAAAAGCAAAAATAAAGTGCAAGAAACATAAACTGATTAGATCACAGTTCAACTAAATAAGCAAAGGAGAAAATAGCAAGAGAAATTTAAAAAACCTTCCAATAGTTCTCTTCTCAAGGTGATCACATCAATAGCATGTCATCACACCATCAATTTCATCATCCAAGCAAAAACAGCAACAACAGAGACAAGAATGAGCAAGAACAACTAAAACTCAGCAATTTACTCCCCCACTTTGTTCATAATGTTTGCCTTTAAACACCCTTATGTCTGTTTGATCTCCTTGTGGGAAGCTTCTTCACAGCAGTTGTTTTTCCACGATTTCTTGAGGAAGCAGAAGCTTGCAATTGATTTGACTCAGTTGGCTCAAGATCATAAAGGGAACAGGCACAACAGGGGTTGTCTCACCAGAATGAACATCTTGAACATGAATGTCTGTTGAAGGAATGTATTCAATTTGAGTGTCAGTAGCAGGAACATCAACTAGAGATTCTTCCTTAATGTCATGTTGATCAACCCCAAGATCAACGATATGAGTAGCATTAAGATGAAGTTCTTCTTCATTTTCAAGGACAATACCATCAACAGCAGTAGCATCAAAGACACCAACAGGATCAATCTATGGTTGCTCTTGTTCTTTATTAGCCTCATCGGCATTTTGATCATCAGTAAGGCCATTATTTGCAACATCATCATGACCATCACCTTGAACAACAGCCCTTGTATTCTTCACCAATTCTTCTAAGGAATCCACCCGAGCATTCAAGGTGGGGTGAAGATCATAAATCTTATTTTCAATACCCTATAAAAAATTAAGAATCTTGGATTGCCAAGTGTTAGATTTGGCAGGAGCAGCATGAGAGGATGATGGGACATCCATGGTAGGGGGGTTGGAACATTAAGAAAGAGAAGAGAAAGTTTTATCACTATACAAAATGAAGCAGCGGCTAGCACGCTAAAATCAATCACTTGGAGAAGTACATTGGTAGCAAGGTAGCCACATGATAGCCATGTGGTCACAAACCCACCAATGAGTTCTTTAGCCATCTCATTTAAACTATTAGGATTAATAGACAAATCATCAGGGTTTTCCATAGCAGGTAATCTAAGATGAGTCCTAATCATAGCAAGAGTGAATTCCATCAAAGTACCTCTAACACAGACTTGATTTTTATGCAAACTAACCTGATCAAGATCTTTCCTAAAATTTGCAAAAATTCTTGCACAAAGGCTTGCCAATGGGAGATGGGATTTTCAACAGACCTTCCCCAGTGCCTCTCATTCATAATATACGCAATATCAGGAAAGTTAAACAATTTGACATTAGATTCACACACAATGGGTCTATGAACAATGTTTTTTCTTAAACGTTGACTCAGATAAAGGAGAGCTAAAAGTTTGGCATTTACCAACATTCCTCAAATTGAGGAGTAGCTTTCATTTTCTTCTTTCCTTTAAAAGCCTCAGATTGCTTCTTTTTCCCTTTGGATTTGGCAGGGGAGTTTTTTATGAGTCTCTTCCTCTTGGTTGGTTGCACATCAGAGGACGACGAACTACCACTTGGAGAGCTTGACACCGATTGCGTGTTTGTAGGAATGTTCTCACTGGAGGACATTGAGTGCGCACCTTCAACTGCTTGAGAGGTCTGACCTTCTCTCGATCTCTTCTTGGATTTTGTGGTTTGGCGTATGTCGACAATGCATGATTATTGTGTTCCATTGGTCAAGAAATCAACACTCGTTAGATTCAACAAGAAGAAAATTGAAAGGAATTTGAGAGAAAAGTGTTTAAGCGGCACAATTTTGGTTCAAGGTAAAGAAAAACATGATGTGGCAACCTTATATAGAAAAACCCTAGAGAAAATTAGGGTTTTACTTTGAGTAGTCACTTAAAGACAAGATGGGCACATCGCAACTCAATGTGAGAACACCAGCAAAAACAAGTTCAGGGTGAAGACATCACTTGAGGTGTGGGCACAAAGAACACAAATTTGAAATAATAAAAAAATTCAGCAATCATGTGGTGACACAAGTGTCAAAGTGAGCACACAAGAATCATTTGAACAATCTGAACCAATTGAGTAGTGTGTGGTGACCGTCAGAGCTTATGTGAGCATAGTGAATCAAGCATGTCATAACACTGACTCTCAAGGTGGCGACATTGACACAAAGGCAGCATATCTTAAACAGTTATTCAATTTTGAAAAAAAAAAAAAATAATAAGACAAAAATAATCATGAAATCAATCACAAAATTTCACAAGATTTCACAAGATTTAAGGAAGCAAGTCATACAG